TCCAATAGTTTATCCAATCCCAAATGATCAGACCTAAACACATGTACATTGAGTGACACTGCATGGACTCAGTAGGTCTCATATGTGTAATAACCATAATTAAAGAAGAGGAAATCATAAATTTGAGAGGAACTGGGAGGGGTCATGGAAGGCATTTTAGATCAGGAGGGATGGGTAGAAAGAATGTAAATATAAGAGTTATATGTGAAATTCTCAAAAAAATTAAAATGTGTTTTAAACTGGGTGTGAGGAGTTTTTGAAATTAAAAATATTTCCTTGAGCTGGAGATGGTTCAGGAGTTAAGGGTACTTGTTGCTCTTAGAGAAGGACCCAGGTTCAAATTCCAACACCCACATGTCAGCTCACAACTCTGTAACTCCAGTTTCAGAGGATTCAATGCCCTATTCTGGCCTCCATGGGTACTAAACACACATGTGGTGTACATAAATACATTCAGGTTAAACACTCCCATATATATTATAGGTACATTAAAAACAATTTTTCAAAGGGCTAGAGGGATGGCCCAGAGAATGAGAGCACTTGCTACTCTTCTTACAGAAGACCTAGGTTTGGTTCCCAGCACCTACATGGTGGCTCAAAGGCATCCACTACTCCAGTTCTAGGAGACCCAAGACCCTCATGACTTTCACGGGCACTAGACACATATGATGCACATACATATGTGCAGGCAAAACACTCAGACACATAAAATAATTCTAAAAACGTCTGTTTTCCAATGCTGTCGCTGTATTATAGGACACTACAACTATAGTCTCTGTAAAATGTAAAATAAATGTTCTGGTGAAAGACAATGAAAAGATGGGGATGTCCTGGGATGCAGTCGGAGAAACCTTTCCTTCCTGGAGTTCTCTGCCACATGGTGGGGGATCTTGCCGAAGCAGCTCACAGGTTAATCTGACACTAACCATGCAATGTAGAAGCTCACAAAGGTCCCTGTGTACAAGCACACGAAACCCAAGCTCCTCAGCCTCACGTCAATCAAGCAACACTCTCTCCATTCAGGGGAAAACACACAGGGCCAAGCTTTCTCCTCATTCACCCTTGCTTTCCTTTTCTCGTTCAAGTGTTTTTCTCTCCTCTTAGACTCTCATTTGCGATCTCCAACTTCCAACTGCGGTCGCCTTGGTTAATAAGTACCCAGTGTAACAAGTGGGAATCGAGCTATGTGGCTATCTGACTGCTCCTTGTTTTTAGTGCTTGTTGAAATAATTTCCTCCAGTATGGTCATACATGGTTCATGATCAGTACATCAAGGAGAGCTTAGCTATAAAAAACTGAAAGTTCATTTATCTATAAATGAGTTTTGAAGGTGAAATGAGCGTGTTATTTGAAACAAACAACTTGCTTTGTTTGCCTCCGAGTTAATGAAAGTAGCAAAGAGGAGGAGAAAAGGCAAGAGAGGGGCAAGGGGAACCATTTTGCAGTCTATACAACTTACCTAGGCAGTAAAAGTTGCATGGATCGACAACTGCTTATATTAACAGTTCTAGAAAGTAAAGCAATATTAAAGAATGCTACTTAGTCTCAAACTCACATGGATATACTGGGTGCTCTGAGTTTGTCACACGTGAAAAGACTTTCAAGGGAAATGCACTATGCTAGTCTCACAAATGGTTTTTAGAAAGCATAGGCCATCTTATGCTATCCAAAATCAGAAAATGTAATTTGCTCAGTTATTTCTTCATTTTCCAAATCTCCTTTTCATGGCAAAGTAAGAAAGAGATCCCACAATGGCCAAAACAGTTTGTCCCTTATAAACCAATCCCAGTGAAAACCAGAAGAGGGGTAGGCCTGGTAAACTCTGTCCCAGAGACTACCTTAACAGATATAACACTAACTGATTTGGAATTTGGACACTGACTCCCCATGCCAAGTGTTCCGATGTTGAAAGTCTAACTAAATCTTGTTCCGACAGAGAATCCTGTAACTGGGTTGCAAATGCAGCCCTGCTGTTATCTCAAGCCCAACACAGAGCAGTCAGCTCCCTGCAGACCTTTGATCCTAGGAGGGGCAGGGTACACAACCACAAGCTTCTTCCTCAAAATTCTGCCAGGAAGGGAAGGTGCTGGATGGACTTCACATTTTATATTGGAAGCATATGTAGGTTCTGCCCACAGTAAAATGTCTGGAAACACAGTTTGTCCATGGTATTGTGGGTTCAGTTTAGCATGACGAACAACTGACTTTTGTGCAAATGGTGCAGTCATCTACCTACAGCTCAGGACCCCAACCACAAGAGTATGTCCTCTCTCCTTCCCTCCACTGCCAAGTATACATCCTTATACCACGTATACACAGATGTGTGCAAAGCGTGCCTAAAATACTACCCGCTTCTGGTGTTATTTGGCTGGGGATTTTATCAAGCAAAAATGCTGGTATTACCACTATATGCTAGTAACATATGCTAGCTGTTTCCCTAACCCTTCTCTCACCTATCTTCAGGACGAGCAACCAAAGCCTACTAGGAAAATACTGCAGATGAAGGTTCATTGCAAACATCTGAGGCTTAGGAGTAACGAACTTCTGCTTGGCACGTGCCTTCACCCAAGATTTTGTGGGATTAAAAAGTACCTGTTTACAAAGAACCCTGGCCCTAAACAATATGCAAAAACTAACTTAACGGAGACCAAAGGTGTAAATCTAAGCTCCCAAACTGAAAAAGAAAATGGGAGCAAAGATTCATGAATTTGTTGCAGAACCATATGTATCAAAGAAATAGGTAAGTTTCATCAAAATTAAAAAATTGAGCCAGGTGTAGTGATGTAGTAATCCGTACACTGGAGGTGGAGGGAAGAGGATCAGGTGACAAGGCCAGCTTGGTCTTACAGTTTGAGCTCCAGGAAAGCCAGGACTACACAGAGAAACCCTGTCAAAAAAAAACCAAAAAAACAAAAAACTCTTACAGTTTGAGCTCCAGGAAAGCCAGGACTACACAGAGAAACCCTGTCAAAAAAAAAAACCAAAAAAACAAAAACAACAACAAAAACAAACAAAAACAAAAGAAAACCAAAACAAACCAAACAAAAGAACCTTTAAAACTTGGTTGGGATGAAGCTCAGTGGCAGAGCACCTGCCTAGCATGCACAAGGCTCTGGGCTCCATCCCCAGCACTGCAAAAGAAAAAACACCAAAATCTTGTTAATCAAGATTAGCACCATAGAAAAATATTTGCTAATCATATTCTGTGAAGAGCTAATGCCCAGAATCCACAAAGAACCACAAACTCAATGCAAAGCAAGCAAGTGACTTGATTAACAAATGGACATTCGATTTGAACACACTTCTCCAAGATACAATGGATGTATGAAAAACACTGAGCATCATACATTGTTAGGAATGAGAGAATCAAAGCCAGTTTGATACACCATTTTATACCCAATCATCAAACAAACCCCCTTACTATAGCCAGTTAAGTGGACAAACTAGACCTCTTTGTACAATGATGGTGAGAGTGTAAAAACATGGTGGAAAATACATTGATGCTTCAGGAAAAATATATATATAGATAGATACTGAAAAATTTCTACACCACGATAAGCCTCTCTGCCAATGCAGCAATCCAAATCAGACCAAATCAAACCGAATTAGAAAAAGCCCACGTTTAAAGGATACAATGCTCCTGGATGGCCTTCGAGCACCCCAGAGAGGAGAGTGGTAAGAGAGACCAGAAAATCAGTCTATTTTCTGGGAGGAAGTTTAAATACCCTGTGGGAGTGGTCTTGAGCATCTCTTGGGGAGGGGTCATCATTTGGTTGGCTATCTAAGGTGCAGCAGGGTTTGGAGAGATAGGAGAGGTGGCTTGGGTGGAACTTCCACCATAACATCCCAGACTCTTTGGGTATATGGATGTTAGGGGCTGGGGTGAAGCTTTCACCATAGCAAATACTTTGAATTTACCAAATTTACATAATTGCTAGATGTAAATCCAAAATAAAATCAGGACTGAGAGATGTTGGTGGGAGTGTTATTTACAATAGTCAAAATCCAGAAACAATCCAGATTTCTGCTAATGGATAAAGGTTTAACAAAATGATCTATGCCTTACAATAGAATATTATTCAGTCTTACAAAGAAATGAGCATTGTATGAAACTTGAAGATATGCTTTATGAAATAATTTGGGTACAAAAGAAAACATATCACAAATTGGAAAGTCTGACGTGACAGCTGTTTCTGCTTTATATAGCAGGCAACAAGGCCAGTGTACAGAGAGTATGAGGACAACTCCAAAATTGCAAATACCATCACACTGAGTCTTCTGTCTGTCTTGTACAAAGAGCTTTCCTAGTGTACGACACATTAAAAGATGTCAAAAGACTGGTAACACAGGCTGGGTGGAGGCAAGAGGATCAAGAGTTCAAACTTAACTCTGAACAACAAGAGACTCTCTCAAAAGACATAACAAACAAAGAAACAAAGCAGGGAGAGGGGGGAGGGGAGGGAGCAGGAAGAAAGGAAAGAAGAAAGGAAGGAAGGAAGGAAGGAAGGAAGGAAGGAAGGAAGGAAGGAAACACTGATTCCCTCTGAGAAGTCAGAAGTGGATTGTAAGCAGCCTGAGTTACCCTGGGTCTCTTCCCACAGGCAGACGGAAGATATGTCCTCTCAAGCGACAAAGGATTTGTAGCACAGGTTCAAAAAAAAGTGTAATATACCACTAATTCACCATGTAAACACATGATGCCTACATTGCCTAACAGCAGATGTCCTGTTTGATAGGAAGGGAAATTATATTCTTTTTTGTTTTGTTTTGTTTTGTTTGTTTGTTTGTTTGTTTGTTTTACAAGACAGGGTTTCTCTGTAGCTTTGGCACCTATCCTGGCACTCGCTCTGTAGACCAGGCAGGCCTCAAACTCACAGACATCTGCCTGTCTCTGCCTCCTGAGTGTTGGGATTAAAGGCATGCACCACCAACACCTCCAGGAAATTATATTCTTACTTAAAAAGGAAAGGAAAGGAAAGGATTCCAGGAAGTGCACTCACTAGTTCACCAGTTCAATTGGTCCTTGTTCTCCAAATGGAAGACAGAACAAGAAAACGAGGGCAGATTCAGGCAGCTTGCTTAGGATTTCTCTGTTCAATTCTTGAAGTTTCCCTAAAGGGTTGAAGGAAAGAAAAAATGTTAGAAAATGTTTTGTTTTGCTCTATTTCAATGTAAATTTCACATGTGCCTAGAAATTGAGGTTGCTTTCTTCAGAAAATAAACCATTACTCTTATGTTCTCAAGAAACCAAGAAATGTAACTCATTATCTCACCCCTGAATAAGTGCAGAACTGGGACAGGAATATTACCAGTTTTTTTTCCCCCCCATGGGTGTGCTTTGACCTTTAGAACCACTATAACTTAAAGATAGGCATACTGCTTTGAAAGAATGCAGATGCAGCCCAGAGACTCAAAAAAGACATACTACCTTATATTTACATAAAAATATCTAGCTGGGTGCCTCCTGCATGGTCTGTGGAGTTACGCTATCCCTCTCGACTGACTGACTTCCATAGCGGGTCTCCAAGACCACAGGAACAAGGCACTTGGGATCCACCTCCAATGAGAGTGGCTTACTCTCTCCTAAAATCACAGTCAAGATTTTTTGAGAATTTTTCCTTTCAAGGAGAGGGCTATGAAAAATGAAAAGTATTGAGTTTTAGGTTAATCTTGGAAGTCGTCGTACAAAACATTCAAATGAAGAGAATGTAAAGTCCAACTAAACTGTTCAAGAAACAGACATTTTAGATAAAAATATTACAGTATATCCTACCTTTCTTCCATGTCTGAAGATATATTCTACCCAGCCTTTACAACTACCAGCCAAGCTAGCGGAAGATCCAAATAGTGTATGTATCCGCATTTTTAAATTCAGTATGATTTCAAGTCCAGACTAGATGTTAGATTAGTTTTTAATGCCATCATGACCATATCCTGGTCTATGTGTTTTCTTTGAGACATGTGTTTTCTTTGAGGCAGAGGCATGCTACATATCCCCAAATGGCTTGAAATTTGCAATTCTCCTGCCTCTGTCTTTTAACTCTAGGGATTATAGACACAAGCCACTAGGCCTTGACTGGTTCTTCTGTCTTCAATTTCCGGCAAATCCCTTCACTTGTTAGAAGTGCAAAATACAGTTGAATTGCTAGGTTTTAAATAGCTGTTTATGCCACTGTTGTTTTTTGTTTCTTTATGATTATTTTCTGGTTGCAATATGTATTCTTCCACCAAAAAATTTAGCCAAATAAAGAAAACAAGAGCCAAGGCATTGGTGTGCAGGACCTTTAGAGCTCTACAGAGCAGTTTGAAATCTGGATTAACTGGCCTCCAAAGCCAGTTAAAATGCAAAACTGTTCAACCACATCTCCATTGGAATGGCTGGTGTTCTGTAGTTATCAGAGCACAAGCAGTAACCTCATCCAGACCCTATGTCAAATTCTTATTATCAAAGATTTCCTCAAAGGGGAAAGGCTGCAGCCTTAAATTAGAGGGTAGCAGATGTTTAACAAGTGACATTTATAGTCCCCCACCCCAAAAAAAAAAAAAAAAAAAAAAAAAAAGAGGCCGTGTGTGTTGCACGTTGAATAACAAACAATCCAAAGTCACAGTTTGATAAAACCTTGGAAATTAAAGTGCACATTATAAGCTGTGTCTTAAACTTAGTTGCAGCGTCAAGACAACAGAAAAAGATTCGGACTCCTATACTATGTTCCCAGGTGTGCTCAGCTCTCCTGAGTGGAGGAAATAGTTACAAAGCACAGGACTTTAAAGTTTTCCACTTTGTATAATAGTAAAAGTTCCCCCTTATAAGCAAGGTAATGTCTCAGTAGTGGACATGTAAACTCTATAATCTGAAAGCAAATTATTAATATATATGAAACTTGGGATTCACAGTTTTATGCTAAACTGGAGGGAAAGAAGGGTCACTGAGGGGGTAGTCATAGCTACTTAAGTAAGAAAATTCCTGGGATTGTCATGTAAAACAATTCTGTTTCTGATTCAAATAAAAAAAAAGTTGGAAAAAAAAGAAAATTCCTTAAAGTATAACATGTAGGCTCAATTGTACACTCCCAGAAAATTCTGATTTTCCACAATGAATCTAAACAGAATTTATTTCATAAAAACTTCAATATTTGTTATTCTGATTGCTCACAAAAATCTCCAAATAAAACTGACAAACTTGATTTATATATATACACACATAATACACATATACATGCATATATTTACACATATACATACATACTACATACACATGGGATGCCACCATTTTTGCTGTCTACCCTGATTCCATTTTGACTCATATTCTTTCTGTGTCATTTTAGAGTACACACAGTTTTTGGTTGGTTTTGGTGGTAGTGGTTGATTGGATTTTGTTTTTGAGGCAGGTTACCACACCATATCCCAGATCTGGAATTCATGGCAAACCTTCTGCTTTGGACTCATGAATGTGAAAACATAGAGATATAAATATAATTATAGATAACTTTAACTATATAAAATATATAAACTATAGATACAAAATATAACTATGGATATAAATCACTGTGCTCAGATGCCACACTTGGTTCCTTTCTATTATTGCAACTATTATTTGTGTGTGTGTCTGTGTGTGTGCTCATGTGTGGTACTTTGTGCAATTCTCTCCTTCCACCTCCATGTGGTTTCCATGAATTGAGCTCCAGTAGGCAGGCTTACAATAGTCAGCAAGAACAATTACCTGCTGAGCTACAGCACATGGCCACACATTAAAACAAAACAAAACAAAGAACCCAAACAAACAAACAAAAGCATTACAACTGCTCTTTTCCTTTGAAACGAAAATTTCTTTTTTAAAGATTTCATTACTATATTTTTTTCGTTTTATGTGTTTGCTGCAGTACATAGGAGCATCATGCTCATGCAGTATATACAGAGAATGGCAGAGAGCGCTGGAACAAAGAGTTCTATAATTAGAGTGGTTGTGATTGGCCACGCGGGTGCTGGGAACTGAACCCAGGTCCTCTGCAAAAGCATTAAATGATGAGCCATGTACATGTGGCTTTTAAGGTTGTTGCAAATTCACTTTTTGGAATGAGGCAGGATACACTAACATTAAAACAAACCATTAAATAATAAATATATATGTACTAATATATTTATTAGTCTAATGTCATGACATGCTCTGTGCTACTTCAAACCTCAATCACAAGCTTAAGCTAAAATTTAATTTCCACTCCTACTCTCTACCAGCTTCTAACTACATGTATTTAGATAGATATAAGTATGAATAGATGCCAAGAAATGACAAAGGGGCTTGTGAGCTGAGGGGGAAGAAAAGGGAGATGGGAGTGGGGTAAAAGAACACATGCAGAGAAAGGGGAGGGAGGAAGCTGGGGTAGGGAGGTACACAGTGGGGAGAGAAGGCAGAGAGGTGTGTGTGGTGGGGGCGGGGGGAGGGGTAAGAATCAACCCAAAGCAGGCATGTATGTTGTCATAAAGAAATATGCTACTTTGTATACTAATTAAAATGAAGTAGTAGTAATCACTATGTCTTTTATTTTGTAAGATGAGGGTGGGTGTGTCTTATGTAGCCCAGGTTAGACTCAAACTTACTACAAAACTCAAGATGACCATGAAGGCCGATACTCTTGCCTCAGCTCCCAATACTGAGTTTATAGGTGTGTGCCACAAGGCCTAGCTGGAATACTTTTTATTGCAAACAGATTCGTTTTTACGATAAATCAGTTGCCCACTCTCAAGGAGAAGGACACGGACTTGATGCTACCAGGAAGCCTCTGGCACTGCCTGACCTCAGGCATGCTCTCAGGGGTGTAGGCATCAGCTTTCTCGAGTATTTCCTGAACTTCTGTATCATCACATGAATTAAAGATCTTACATTTGGAAGCATACTAGCTGCAAACTAGCTGCCCCTAGTAGCCTCCTGGGCTGCCTTCATTCCAGACACTCCTGCCTAATACAATGAATCCAGCTCTCACAGCAGACAGCGGCCTTTAAAATCACACCATGTGCTCCCATCAGCCTCTTGTGGGATCTTCCACATTCTCTTGGTGCTGTCTTTAGAGTAAAGTCAATATCCTCCTAAGGCATGAAGAGTTTCAGTCCTCATCCAGCTTCATGCCCTGCCTCAGTTTCTCTTTCAGGTCATTCCTGATTCTTCAGATCCTCTCAGACCTTCTGCCAGGCTGAACTCAACCCTATATCGCTCCTCCAGGGAAGCTCCTGAGACAGCCCAGTGTTATCTAGCACTTTTTCTGACACTATATTGAGCTATAGGAAATTGCCACATTGAAGGACAATCATGGTAGTATTTTGGCATATGGTTTACAAGCTCACAGTAACTGTGAAAACTGAGCTCATCTTCCACTAAATAAAAACTTTACTAGGGCAGAATCTGGGTCTGACTCACATCTAGACCCCAATGCCCTGGCTCAGTGTTGGCCCAGAGCAGGTGTTTAACTTTAATTAATATGAGATGTCATTGTGACCTCTTAAATACTAAGTACTTAATTTTAATATTGTCACTGGTAGTTAAAAATCATATTTTTTTATCCAAAAGCCACTATATTAAGCATAAAGAAACAGAATGAATAAATTCAAGGTAACATTTCACATCTGGCATTTGTGCAAAATATGAAATCAGTAAATGTAACACTGTAATGTATATTCCCAAGGATAGGATTCAACCTATCCATGTGGCATTATTTATGAACTCATTTTAAATCTCAAATGCTTCTCACTGTTTGGCAGCACAAAAAGAGCTTGCTAGTGATTTGGATTTGGCGATCAGCTAAGGGAACACAGCATCTAAAGAGTGGTAGACCTGAAATGGGCATTTTAAAGCATCTTTCTGCCTGATAGCAAGGGAACACTTCCTGAGACCTCCCACAGCACCTAATCCAACTATATACTTCTGTGTCTACCCCTCCTGAAATGAAGGACCAAGGAGAAGGCATGTTGCAATGGGATGTGGGGTGGGCAAGGCTAAGCCAGCAGCTAAGAGCCAATGATGACAGCAGCAGCTCAGTCCTTAATTCCTCAATGTACATCAAGTATTGTGTCAAGCATCCCTTGCACAGCATCTTTTTACTTGCTGCTACGTACAATAAGGA